TCTGTTCCTCCTGGTTGGATCTGGCTCTCCTTCCCCCATCTGATTAAAGAGCTCCCTGAGGACAAAGGCCGGGTCCTCAAGAAGTGGTCGTGAGTTGGGGTCTGTCCGACCGTGTCATTCCCCTGCTTAAAACCCTCACGGGCAAAAAAAAGTAAACTCTAAAACCAGTCTTCAAGACCTCTGGACATCTGATTTGGGTTTGGCAAACTCCTATTCACCCTTCAAAGCCCATATTAAATGCTCGTTTCCCCAGAAAACCTTCCCTGGGTGCTCCTCTCGGTTTTCCCAACCCCTGGCCCCAAAGGCTGGGATATCTGCACCCCTCTTAGCCTTGCTCTTTAGAATGGGGCTCTGTGAGGGCCAGTCCAGGGGCTGAGTCTATGAATGATCAAGTGTATTTGTAGCCACAGGTCTGCATGTAGACATCACATGGGAACATATGAGCACATCTGTGTGTGTGTGTGTGTGTGTGTGTGTGTCCATGCGCTGGGCCCCAGGATAAGCCGCCAGGCCAACTTCCCCCAGACCATCTGAGACATCCACGTCTTTACAAGGCTGGGAGAGTGGGCTGAGCAGGGCCCCTTTACGAGGGAGCCTCGCTCGGCTGGGAACTCATTGCTCCGCCAACGTTCAACCGGAAAAAACCGGAGGTATGAGCAGCCGGCCTCAGCTCCCACCACGCTGGCACCGGGTCTTGAGCTGCACCATTAACGCTCAAGCTCCATCTGGGGCAAAAGGGGAGGCTGGGATCTGGGGAAGGGCTGAGTGCTGAGTGGGAGCTCCCCTCCCACGCCTTGATGGAGGCCCCACCAGGCAGCCTTCGAGGACATACCTGAGGTTCGGCAGCACCCCGCCTGCCAGCCCCCGGGGCTGAGTCAGCAGGAAGGGATTCGGGACTTCCCAGGAAAGGCCGCTGGGACCTTGAGGCCCCCTCCCCAGCTTCCAGCCCCCCGCCCACGCCCTCCCCAGGGCTCCAAAAGGGTAGGAGGTGCCACACGTGTCCGGCTGTGGCCCAGTGTGCTTGGAGGGACTGAATCGTGGGAGGCCCGATCGGTCCTGACTCGGGCAGTTCCAGCCATCTGGGGGTCAGAACATCCCCAAGTGCAGGGAGACTGTGGCTGTGTCCATGTTACATGACACACAGGTGCTCTTGGCTGCACGCACACGGGCCTGCGTGTCAGGCGTGCGTCCCCCCCCTGGGGTGGCTGGTAAGGGTGCACGTCCAGCGTATTCCCCACATCCGGCAAGTCGGATGGGGGGGGTTAGTGACTGCATGTGGGGCTATAATGGAGAGTGACAGCATCACCCAAATGGGTGATGAAAAGGTGTCCCCAGTGGTGTGGGAGGGCATGTCTGGGGAGGACAGGGACGGGGTGTGACGAGCAGTGTGACCTTGGGACGGATGATGAGGGAGACTGGCTCCACCATGCGTGGCTCCATGTGGTGGTTGTGACCCTGGGTAGGACAGTGTGTGTGGTCCCGCATATACACCAACATGTCAGTGCCTGGTCCTTCCCTCATCTTTGGGGTCTCCTCCCTCCTGCCTGCTCAGACCCCCCACCCCAGGCCCTGGGAGAGGGGTCAGGCAGCAGGACGTCAGCATTCACCTGGACTGCTCTCTCTCTGCTGGCACCCTGCCTCTGTTTCCACCACTCCCCCCAGCCGACGGAGGCCAGGTCTCCCCGCCAGGCTGGCTCCAGTCTTTGGGGTCTGAGACTGGGACGTACCCAACTCCGAGGGCTGATGAGAGAGACAGACGGGGCCGGGGAAGTGGTGGGTGGCCACGCCAGGTCCACGAGGCCCCGATGGAGGCGCCAGCAATGTTCAGCCAGGACAGGAGGCAGCCGAGGGGGAGGGGGCGCTGGACTGCAGGGTTTGGACCCCACAAGGGCTGCCACGTGGGAAGAAGCAGACCACAGTTCCATGAAAGAAACACTTTCCCACAAGCTGAATCCCGCACCAGTTCCAGAGGAGTCTTTGTCATGAGCAAGTGTGCACACTTCCACCGCTCCAGCACCTTCTTTGGCTCCCGATCACCTGCTAGAGATAGCTCAGGCTTCTGACTCGGCGTTCAAGGCTCCGTTCGTCTCCCTTGCGTGCTTCGCTTGTGCTCCCTTCTGCCCTCCGTGCCCACCTGAGGTTTCCCTCCTCCAGCCTTCCCAGACACATTTCTAGCTGCCAGGAATGCCCTTCCTGCCTTGCCTGCTGGGCAAACTCCTACGCCATCCTTCAGGGCCCAGCACCTATGTCCCCTTCTCTGGGAAACATTGCCCTTCCCCCACCCCCAGCCCACAGTGTCCCTGTTTGCTTTGTGACCCTGGGCCAATTTCGCTGTGAAATGGGGGTTGTATGAAAATTACCCTCCCTACAAGTCTATTTTGACCTCCAAGACAATAAGTGTACATTAAAAGCCCTTAAAGTGAGGGGTGTCTGGGTGGCTCAGTCAGTTAAGCATCTGACTCTCGATTTCAGCTCAAATCATGCTCTCACGGTTCGTGGGACTGAGC